CCCCGCCCTCCCCGTCGAGGCAGACCCTGGCTGGGACCAAGGCTCCCTTGAAGCTGTGGCTGTGGAGTCCTGTGAGCAAAAATCCTCCTTTGTGAACTGCTGGCATTAAAGTTCTGAGCGGGCGATTCGGCTGCTGCATATAATTCATTTCCTCCTTCCTAAGCGGAGGCGCGCCTCCCCCTCCCCCCTCCTTCGGTGGCGGCCGCAGCAGGGGGAGGAGGCGGTGGTCTCCCGGAGACCTGAGGAATGTTTGGAGTTAAGTTGCTCCGGGCTGGGTCTGACGGGCGGTGGGCTGGCTGGCTTCAGCGCCCCCATGCAAATCTCTCTGGGGAGGGGGAAACGGGAAGGCGCTTCAGGCTGGGGATTCAGAACGACTGATGGGTTGGTCTTGCTGAGAAACAGGAGGTACTTGCGACAGGACTCTCCCCCCCCTACGAATTGTGTTTCCAAGTTTGTTCCCGAGAAACGATGCACTCATCGCTGGTCCCCCCCCCCAGAGCCGGGAGAGGCCCGCGCGGGCGCCTGCACGCCAAGCCAGGGGCTCGCAGCTTGGAGCACACGGCCTCCCCCGCCTGGAGGCCCAGGGCAGGCAGGCAGCCAGGGAGGGGGAGGGGCGGTCCCAAGGAGGAGGAATTCCGTCTCTCCAGGCCCCGCCTGGAGGTTGGCAACCACGTACTTGGGTGCGCGGGGGGGGCCGGGGCGCCAGAAGGTAGCCCTGCCTAGGGCCCAAAAAACCCTCGGGCCGGCCCTGCTTCCTACCGAAGTGGTACCTATTTATCTACTTGCAATTTTTTTTGCTTTCGAACTGCTAGGTTGGCAGGAGCTGGAACTAGAGATGGGAGCTCACTCCATCATGCGGCACCCGGGTCTCGAACTGCTGAACTACTGACCTTCCAGTCTGAAGTTCAGCATCTTAACCACTTGAGCCACCGCAGCTCCTATGACATATATAGTACTTCCTTCATTTTATCCTCAAAACAATCCTGAGAGGTAGATTAAGCTGAGAGTGTGACTCACCCTAGATTCATTGCTAAGTAGGGTTTGATCCAAGGTCTTACTAATGCTAGCCTATCCTCTTACTACTACACCACAACAGCTCTGTATTAGTAACATGTAATTGTTTACCCTCCTAATGTATTTGTATCTCTGTAATCTTGCCCCAAAAGTCTTATCCTGCCCAACATAGGATATGTTGCCCAGATTGCATGCAGCTGTTAGTGTTATCACTTTTTCTTGGGCATCTGATTTTGCAAAATAGTACAGAACCCTATTAAGTGACTGTGAAATGAAAAGCCTATTTAATTAAAATAAGACATTCTAAATATATGCAACACAGTAGCATATTTGGACTGCTTCCACCATAAGTAAATTATGGAAAAAGCTGTTGCTTATCCAGTGCATTGATTTCAGCCTGCAAACTTATAATATTAATTTACTCTTGAATCACACTTCAGTGTGTCCAATTGATCTCAAACAGAATAAATAGCTTGAATATGCTGCAATAACACATGCTAAACTGATTAATACAGACTATTCTAACATCATTTCAATTAAAGTATGATAATGTCATTAATATTCTTCCGTGCCTATTCATTTTGGCTGTGGTGAACTTCATATTGTTAAAGTCTTTCCAGAGTTAAGAGATTATCTTCATGAACATATGGTTAAGTGACAATATCATCCTAAACAGAGTTTACACTCTTCGAAGCCCACTGACTTCAGTGGACTTAGGGGTGTTGGCTCTGCGTAGGACAACAGTGTGAATGATCTGCACTGCCAAATGAGAATTGCTGCCAAGAATTACTAGTGTCTTTTGTTAGTGGAGTTGTAAATTATAAAATGTTAATTTATCATAAATTGTGGAATGGTGGATTCTCTGTTAAGTGCTTCATAATTTCCCATGCTTAGATGGTTGTATTTGCACAATGCCTTGCAGTAAATAAAGCTCAGAATTCTTATGAATATGACAAAACAGAGAAGGAAAAATAAATTATAAGGGATTTGGGGGTATTGTGGCCAAAAGGTTTCTGTGTTAAATCATACTAGAAGATGCTTAGTTGCTTTTCTCTTATCAACCACTTTAACTTTCTTGAGTTCTTATTAAGTTGCCCACCTTCTTGTCCTATTGGGAGACATTGCTTTAAAAATCAAATTTGTATTTGTTTTAATGCTGCTAGTGGTGATTTTTGTTTCATTTATTAGTCTCCTATTAAATTTATATCAGGTTTGCAGGGGATCCTTTGTACATTTCAAAACCATTATTTCAGGAGTGTCTCCCCCTGACTTTTCAAACCAATTTTATTTTCTTTGATTAACATTCTCATGTTTGAAGTTACCCTTCTTAAAATGTGATGACCAAAACTAGGCACACCGTTCCATCTGGGACTAAATCTTTTCTGAATAGAGTGCTGGCATTTTCACTGTCTTTCATGATACTTCTATTAATAAATTGAAATTAAGACAAACGGTAATTTACCGAAGTTTGAGTCCGGTGGCACCTTTACAACCAACAAAGTTTTATTCATGGTATAAGCTTTCGTGTGCATTGCATACTTCCTCAGATACATTGAAATGGAAGTATTTGAGGAAGTGTGTATGCACACGAAAGCTTATACCTTGAATAAAACTTTGTTGGTCCTAAAGGTACACCGGACTCAAACTTTGTTCTACTGCTCCAGACCAACAGGGCTGCCCACCTGGAGTAATTTACCAATTTAGATTGGGAGTCATCATCACCTTGGGAGCGTCATCATCCTGAGGGCGTCTTCCATTTCCCCTCATTTTCCGCTTTGGTTTTGTTTTCATCTTACAACATGAGGCTTTTGCCTTTGAACTTGTTAGAGAAGTGCTTCAGTTTTGGATTTTAATCCTTTGAAGTTACATCTACACTTCTATCCTTATTTATTTATTTATTTTATTATATTTATACCCCGCCCTCCCCGCGTTTATATAAAATATAAGCATAATTTTACTCTTGATAAAGAAGCTGAACAAACTGTTAGCCCTAATCTCAGAATAGTGTTCCAAACAAACAAATTTCCAAGCTGACTTCCTTGCAAACTGGAAGAATGTGTTTCCTTTGATCTTGCTTGTTAAGAGAACTGTATGCCTGAACACAGTGCAGAAAGTGTGTTTATGGGTTTATTGATCAAATTAGATAAATGTCGTTTGACGACTTCTGTTGAAGTGAAGCATGGCTTATTAGGAATTTTTTATGAAGACCAAGTTTTAGAACTTAATGTAATTCATCAAGATTCCATTTATTTGAATATGCTTGCCGAATAGGTCGCTAGTTTGTGAAGATGCTAGTTGTGTTGGACCGGCTGTTGGTTAGTAATTCCATTCATACTTGTGCAGTGTTACTTTTTTAGTTTGGTGTTACAAGAGTTGGGATATTGTGAAAGAAATAAGATAGTTAATTAACAATTTTGAAGGATACTGTACATCTCAGGAACAGAATAAGTTAGCTTCAAGTGTTTTTGACATACCCAAAAACATCCATTTGTGATGGCTTTTCCATATTACTACTTACCAGTTTCTTAGTGTAATGAAATCAAGGAATTGTGTGTTTTCCTAACATTAATTTTAAAAAAAATCCATTAAGGTAACCATGAATAGGAATATAATTATATCAATGTCACCAATTTGGCATTCAGCATATAAGACTGTTGTAACAAAAATCACTAACTTTCTTCTAGGCTTTTTGTGAGACTCTGGAGGAAACAAACTACCGCCTACAAAAAGAACTTGCTGAAAAACAAAGGGAAGTGGAAGCTCTAAAAAAACTATTACATGAAAAAGAAGTGTACATAGATGCTATGGAGAAAAGAATTAGGTATGCTGAAGGAAAATGCTTGAAAATTTTCATCCCAATCCAAAGAGACACCAAGAGTTTCTGAAGCACCCTTTATACTGCGGCCCTTCCCAAGGCATTCCCTTCATAAAGCCATCCTTCAGAGGCCTGTGGTGGAGCATGTAACACAGCTGAAAGAGCAAATCATGGGAAATCCCACTGTGTGTATTAGAAGCACTGAAGTGCATGCACCAGGGCTATTGAGATCTCAGCCTTATGGGCTAATGTAGCGTATGTGGGCTGAAGTCAGCAACTGATGATTTTTGAGATTGGAATAGAGGGAAGAAAGCAACAGCATTGGCAGCTTTACTGATGTGTGCAGCAGTATCTTTTCCCATAAAGCATTCAAATTGTGGCTTGGAGATGAAACCCAGTGAAATAAATGAAACTGTTACTGTTTTCCAAGTAAAACTTGGTGTTCCTATTGAGAATGTCTTTTTATCAGAAGTAATCAGATTGGCGGGGAGCTGTGGTGGCTCAAGTGGTTAAGACGCTGAACTGCAGGCTGTGGAAGGTCAGTAGTCCAGCAGTTCGAGACCCGGGTGCCGCAAGACAGAGTGAGCTCCCGTCTCTAGTTCCAGCTCCTGCCAACCTAGCAGTTCGAAAGCAAGAAATTGCAAGTAGATAAATAGGTACCACTTCGGTGGGAAGGTAACAGCGTTCCGTGCACCTTGGTGTTTAGTCATGCCGGCCACATGACCACGGAAACGTCTTCGGACAGCGCTGGCTCTTCGGCTTTGAAACGGAGATGAGCACCACATCCCTAGAGTCGGACTCGATTGGCTTTCGAGCAAGGGAACCTTTACCTTTACCTTTTACCTAATCAGATTGGCAGTGCATATTGGGGAGTGGGCTGTAGTCCATGGAAGCTTGCATTGAAGTGCCTCAAGACTGTGTTTCTTTTTTAAATGTTTGTGATATTTTTACACCGTACTATTAAAAAGATCTTGCTGCTCAGTACTTTTTACTGTTTGCCAAGTTGGGAGTCCATTGGGACATCTCAGTTTTTCATAGCTGAGGGATTTGATAATAGCTGTTGCTTGCAAGTGGAAAAAAAAGCAATTAGAGCACGGTTGTTCCTTAGCAAATTGTTGTCTGAAAGCCAGTGCAGTTGTGGAAATACAGTTCTATCTGCCGAGGTCTTTTCAAGGAAGATTTACTTGGATGTTTTATTTTCAAACTTAAATATACTGTGAGTTAAATATCTATTGATTTTTATTTTCAGGGATTTAAATGTGGAGGAAACAAAGTCTCGTAAATTGTCAGGAGAAGAAAGTGAGTGCAGTGGAGAAGTGGAATCTTCTGCAATAGAGGCAGATCAAGGTGGCCTGGCTGAAGACAACTGGTAAGCCAAACGCTCTAGTTTTAATTTCATATTGTTTGTCTGAAAGGCATTGCACCTGCAGAAATAACGCTCAGTCCTCGGGGATGTTGTGCTGCACGATCTCCATTAATTTTCATTAGTGGTGCACAGAAGAATTTCCTACAGGATTGTGCTTTTTACTGGAAAGCTGGATATTATTTTGCTTGTTTTAGAGCATTTCTATCCTGAGGGTTCCGGGTAGGCAGCTCACAAATAAAACTGAAGATATAGATATGATAGTAATAAGAAGATGGGATCCAGAAAACTAATCAGACATGCTCAAAGAAATATCAAAAGCAGCATTAAAAAGGTAACTAATCAGAAGCATTCAGGAATATCTTTTTTAAAACAACAGGCAAAGTTATATTGTTCTAAGCCCATTGACTTCAGTATACTCTCCTTAGGATGGCACTATAAGTATAGGTAGCAGTTGAGGCTTACTGGAGTTGACGTTCCAAAGATAGGTGCCTCCAAGAAAAGGCCTTGGTGTGTTATTCTACCATTCCAACAAACCTGGAAGCCAGAGGATGTAGTGATAGCCACAGGCACAGACAGCTTTAAAAGATGATTAGATAGATTCATGGAGGAGAGGTATATCAGTGGCTACTAGCCATGGTGACTAAAGGGAACATCCATATTCAGAGACAGTCAGTCTCTGAATCCTAGTGCCAGGAGGCCTCAGCCTCTAAGCTCTGTTGTTGGCCCTCCAGAAGAACTAGTTGGCCACTGTGTATGAGACAGGATGCTGGACTAGATGGACCACTAGTCTGATCCAGCAGGGCTCTTCTTATGTTCTTATAATATTAAAGGGAACACCAGACAAAACACTGCCAAAAGACAGTGATAGAGGGAGACAGATGAATCTCTCTGGGGAAGGAATTACATTGTTTTCAAATTAAGAAACTTCCTCAGGTTGGAGGAAGGAGTCCACTTTTGATGAGCAGATAACATCTCTTTGTCTCCAGCTGGTCTAACTTCCAAATAAGGAGGTCCCTGAAGCAGGGCCTCTATCATGAATGAATCCTAACTGTTTCCTCCTCTAAAGGTACTTGCTTCAGGTTACAAAGTGCTATTTGAAATGGGAAGGGATGTTGAAAAGTGTTAATGATTAGAGATGGTCATGAACTGGGAAAATGCAGTTTAGTTCGGGTTCACTTCATGGCTCAGCACGAATTGAATCCTGAGCCAGGAGACCTGCTTACAAACTGAACTGGTTCATGTGGATTGTTGCCCTGCAAACCCTGTTGTAGACTGCTGAGCTGGCAGGGAGAGCTTTCTGTACCAGGTAGCCCACAGCTGGGCGGGTGGGGAGAGCTATCCACGCCAAATCTCCTCTCTTCTTCCTGCAGCCCCTTTAAACTGGGCTGCACAAGGGAGCCCGCAGCTGAGACAGCAAAGAGAGTTCTCCCTGCCTGCCAGCCCTTCAGCTGTTTCCCCTCAGGTGTTTCTCAAAAGGTTGTTAACCACCTTGAACTGCCCCCAAATTTTGGGGAACGTTGTGGTTTGTTAGTTCTCAGACTTCGGTTTACAAACTCCAAACTGGCCCAAATACATGACGAACTTTGGTTTGTCAGCCAGTTCGTGCCCATTCCTATATACCTCTTCAGTAGTTCTTTTTTTTTTTTTAAGTGCAAACTCTTCAGCTGGAGAATTGTTGAAAAGGTTACACATGCATAACTTGGCTGGCTGTGAACCAGCCTGGCACGCATGTACCTATTGACTGTGTCCATTACAGAAAATGCAGGAACAGCAGCCTGATTTTGGGGAAGAAGTTTTTGTAGTTTGTTGGCCGTGAACAGGATTGAACTAACTTTCCAAATGTTGTACTTGAAAGAATCATGAAATGGATATAAAGCATCTGGTAGGCTTTGTAACAGGGCTTTCTTGTCTCCCCCTGGGCCCTGCCACAGTTCAGAAAAAGAGAATCAGGAACCGTCTTGGAGTAGTTCAGTGGCAGAAAATTCTGTACCGGAAATTGAAGTTGCTGAGATAGCATGTGATGTGGATGAAGAAATGTAAATGACACCAGTTGCTGTTACAAAATAATAATAATAATAATGACAATGTCCGAAGCAGTTGGAACAAAAGCATACAATAGCTCTGAAGCAGGTACAGCAGGTAAGAAGGCCAGTCTGAGTGAACTCTTGGCATAGGAAGTATATGTGCTGCTTTGATTCAACTGTTATCTAGCCTTTAGATATATTTAATATATTATATATATGTGTACGTGTGTATGTAAGTTCTGGTTAAGGCCAGCTCAAATTATGCCTGGAATTCTAAGTGAAGTACAAAAATGGCTGCAGTTTACCAATGTGTAAAGGCTAAAAATTCAAATCTATAGAGACCAATCATGTTTGTTTATCATGTGACATAATGCTACAAATCACATGTTTGCTACTAATAGATGATTTTGTATGGGCAGCTTTCTGGCATCTTATTATTATTTTTTTACAAATTCTTTATACAGGCATATAATTTTATGCTCTTGGAAATATAACTATGCCGTCTAGGTTTAATAAAAGAATGTGATCTGTTATGGATTTTAAAGTCATAAATGTAAATAACTGATATGTAAATTTTTAATACATTAAAAATAGGAATGCTTGCAATACCAAAAGAATGTTTCACAAGGAAGTATGATTGAAAGACTTTATGATGAAAATCAACTCAGTGAAGTAAACTGTAGAACCCAGACACAGTGTGGAGATTCAACCATATGAGGAAAAATGTAAAAACTGATTTGTTCTCTTTTATTTTTATTAAACCTTCTGACACTATTGCCACAATGCCACATAATCATCAACTCAACAACTTTGCCTTATATAAAGAACACTACCTCTTTGTTGCTGATGCATCACATGTGTTTATCTGTATATTATATGCAGATAGTTTGGGTTCTTAAAACCATGGTTCTCCTGCACAGTTAATTAACTAGGTAAAATCTAGTTGCATTTTTTCCCCTCTTAGAATTATGTACACATGGGGACTTGCTACAATGTGTTTGTGTAGCCTGTTTTTCAAATTGTATTAAGTCCGATGGTGCACTTTATAATAAAAAGACTTATTGTGCCAAGTTCATTGGCTAATTTTTTTTTTAGAGTTGAACCCTTGGGATTCGGGAAGGTGAAGAAAAGGATTGCATAGCTGTGCCTTCTTATTGCTTTCCTTGTTCTAGGCGTTTGTCTGGGTCAGTTTTATGAAACCTTCAAAAAATTCTGGTCAGCAGTTGTTTGTTCAAAGTGCCTTGTTTTGTCTGGTCTTCTGGTGGGAAGAATGCTGTTTTTGTTTTCCTCTGTGCAACCTACTCTGTTTAATTCTGTTAACATGCAATCACAATGTGCTGGTGGCTTTTTTCAATGCTCACTTTGTATTTTGGAGCATAGGGACAACAGTCTGTAGAACTGCATAAAGCTGTCTGGGAAAATAAACTTTTTGGACATTACAACTTTTCTTGTCATTTTTGTTGAAATCTGTGCTTTTGAGGCGCACACTGATCGACATTTACTGTAGACTAAAGGAATTAATAGTGCATAAAACAATTATAATGTTTGCATGCAACTTTAGTGTACTGCCTGTTTCGGTTATATATTATAGCTAGTAATCTACTGTTCTTGAATAAATAGCTGGAAATATGCGATGGGAATTTGAGTACATTTGGTAGGTTTGAAGCTCATAGTTTGTACTTCTCATCTAGCTGATCAACCAGTTTCCCTGGTTGCTCCTTGGGTCCTGAAAGTCTCATCCATGCCAGCTCAGCGAATGTATTGTGCAAAAACTTCTGGCAAAAATACAAAAATTCTGTTATTGTAAGAGCAAACTTTTGCCCCATTTAAAAACAAAAACTGAACAAGTTGGTCTTAAGTTATTAACAATGCAATTCTGAATAAAGTAATATCTTTCTAAATCCATTGACTTCAATGGACTTGGATTGTGTTTAGGATTGTGCTATTGAGTGCTAAAATTGGACATGTGTATAACTGTCAGTATGATGGACCCCACTTTCCTCCCTTAGAGGCTAGATTTTCCCTCCATTTCTCAGGCCCTTTGTTGACTGAGTAGCCCTGGTAATGTGTTTTTTTTTTCTCCCCTGAAGAAACTTTGGCTGTCCCCCCCTGTCAGTAAGATACATTTTGACTATGCTCAGCCCAGAACCCTGAGGGAAGGGATAGGATCACCCTTTAATTTAAACTCTTGAGATGCTTTTAAAATTCAAAAATAATAAAAGTTTTTATTTAACATCAAAGGGAAAGGTCAGGTGAAATCAGGGGTTGAAATTACTGAGGTAAAACAAGTACAAGCACAGGCTTTTGATCTTATATCAGGCTAATGAGAGGTTCTTAATACATTCATGGTTACTTAGATCATTGTATTGAGACGCTTTTGATCGTGTTTTCCCAAACACTCTAGTTCACTTTATTGGAGTCATTGCGACTCTTTTGGTGCCCAGACGGCTAGTACCCTCTTCCCATTACCCAAAGCCCTTCTCTTGGAACACCAGTACTCTTCTTGAGTTGTTCACTGACTTTTAAGGTCTCTGCAGGCAGTTTATTATCACACCATACCAGGGATCTCTGTACCTCTCAGAGATACCCTGTTTGACTGGGTACGGAATCTTCTCTCTCTAGATGATCTGTCCCAGAGGTGTCAAACTTATTTGTTACAAGGGATAAATGTGACATAAATGCTGGGCCGGAGCATGTATGCCATAAAATGTAACATGAAGTTCTGGAGATATAAACTTTATAAACATGATTTCAGATGCCGAATGGCGATAGGCTTGATTGGATTAGGTGTGATATGCAGAGGGGTAGTAGGCATGGAGATAACATCATTGGTAATGAGACAGGAAACCTAGGTCTCAGTTTGGTCCAGGAGGATTCCATCCAGGGAGATGCAAAGAATAAATGAAGAAGGGAGCAGGAAGCAGTGACTCACGAAAGCTAATACCCTGCCACAGATTTTACTTCAAGTTGCTACTGGACTCTTACTCTTTCTACAGCTATAAGAAACCGCAACATTCAAAAACCAGTGGGGCCTTCCAGGACATTCAGTTGCTGACCTAAGAGTAGCAGTTCTCTTACAAAGGAATTTCAAAGGGAGATTAGAAAGAGAGACTGATGAATTGCAACTGATAATGAAGCTCAATGCATCCTTCTGGGCTGAATTGAGACCTAGGTTTCTTCTCTCATTACCAATGGCTCCTATTGTTATTTGGCATCTGAAATCACTTCACTCTCTGAGATATAAGGACAGATGGACTCACACTCCAGCTATATCTGAAGAAGTGAGCAGTGACTCATGAAAGCTCATGACCTGCCACAAATTTTGTTAGTCATTAAGGTGCTACTGGACTCTTGCTCCCTTCCACTAATAAAGATTGTAAGCTGTGCTGTTAGGTTTCTTTTATTCTTTTTTTCATCTGTTAGAACTGGAAAGGGAGATCTCCAAGTGAAATAATGTGTTGCTTTCAGACAGGATAAAATTCACTCGCTGCTAGTGATGATAATAAAAAGTCTAAAAAGCAAGGTGGGTTAATGTGAGGAAAGGCAGCCAGTGAGGTGGGAGAGGAGAGAGGGAGACCACATGTTGAACTGGAATATATGGAACTATAAATGTATTTTTAAATACTTAGCCATCTACTTCCAGTCATTAAACCATGGAATTCAATCCAAGTGTTGCCATTCCTAATTAGGGTCTTTTTGAAAGAAAATCCCAGACAGGCAAAGAGAAATCTAATCTTAAAAAAAAACTCTTTTCAGAATAAGCCAAAATATTTTCTCTTTAATTCCCCTTATCCCAGATGCATCTCTTTCCTGCCCCCCTTCCTTTTTTAATATGACCGTGTGTGATCAGGTCTTAAAATAAACAGAGCAGGGCTTGTCAGAAAAATCTCCCTCCCTCTCTCTAAAGAAGTGTGCATGCACAGGAAAGCTTTTGCCTGGAATAAGACTTTGTTGGTTCTGAAGGTGCCATGGGACTCCCCCTCCAAACAAGGGAAGAGAGGTTTGGGAATGCAGCAGCAGGGCACCTCTGTGCATTCTCATTTCCTTCCCCCCTTGCTTTCTCTCTGAAAGAGGAAGAGAGGCTTGGCAACGCAGCAGCAGCCCCAGGGGAGGAAGCAGGAGAGAGCAGAGGGAACTTTTATCTTGAGCACACGCGTACACTCGCTTTTTCCTTTCCCCTTTGCAGCAGCAGTAGTGAGAAGCAGGGAGAAGGAAGCAGTTGCTCGCGGGCCAGATACCAGCCCTGCAGGGGCCGGATCCGGCCCACGAACCACATGTTTGACACCCCTGATCTATCCCCTTTCCTTTGGCCTGAATGGAAGTGTTCTTTACTACCCCAAGCTTCCTTGCCAAACTTTCCCCCCAGTTCTCTGTGTTCAAACTGCTCTCAGCTACTGCTGTCAGGGCTATTCACAGTCTGTCTCAGTACATGTCTCTTCTCAGTTAAGGCAGGAATCTGACTGATTGTCCTCAGCATCCAGCTCTCTCAAGACTTTCTTTGCTCAGATGACGCTAACCAATCAGATTGCTTGGAACTGCCTGTCACTCAAGGCTCTCTAGCTCTGTGAAGAATTAACCCTTCATAGTCCTTTAGTTGTTGGTACAGCACTTCTAAGCCTCTTAAAAAGTGCAGTTCGTCACAGCTTCTAGTTTGTAGGTCAGTTGAAATGTATTTCTTTTAAATGTAGGCTTTGCCTCCACCTTCTCAGCGCTATAGGTCTCCTTTTTTAAAAGATTTCCTTTGACTAACAATCCTGACATAACAAAGATGAACAAGGAAAGCACTTTTCCCACCTACCAGTGATGGGTGTATAGCATTATTGATACTGGATCAGTAGGATCATCTAGTCAAGTAATAAAATGTGAGACTGAAACTACAGGACTGGCAGCTTACAGACCACTTGGGATGTGTCCTTTCATTTGTTATGAATTTATTATTATTATTTAGTTAGTTTTCAAAATATTTTAATTAGTTGTACACACTATGGATGTATTTATTACAGATTTCCCTGTTATGCACATGTCTAGATTTCAATGCATGAAATTATTTTCACAAAAAAGAGAACTATGTTTTGAATAAATTCAAAGTATAATTTGAGTAGTGCAAAACTTTGATCAAATAGTTGAACCAGATAAAAGGATAAGATAAGCATCCCATACACAAGACATTTCCTATTTGAATCAGTGTGACTGACTAAATGAGTGGGCATTTGAGGTGGTTAAACTTTTTAAAATGATGGCCCAGTTTTTTGCTCACTCCTTGTTTCAAGAGTGAACTTCTCATTGCCTTGTGTTTAAACTGTGCATAACTTTTCAGCTACTTTGAAATTGTTTCTAAATTAAGAAGTCTTTATATGTATTTTTAGAAAAGCCCTGTATCTAAATCTGACCTCAGTTCTTCTAAGTGCTGGTAATATGTGCCTGCATCTACACTCTTGGCATATTTGTCAGTCTCAGCCAAGTTTGTTACCAGGTAAGCCCTAAATTTTCATCTGTTTTGTTTCCTTATGGTTATGAAATACTAATTTAAAATATTTTATAGTTAGCTGTATCTGACTTCTGAAGCCAAAATCAATGCCCATATAATTCTGCCCAAGCGCCGAAATCCTGCAATGGTGCCTTGCTGTGGAAGCAAGCTTTACCTTGTCAAGTTTGTCAGGACCCCTTGAAAGGGCCTTTTCACATGCTGCCCCCCCCCCTCAAATTTGAAACTTCTCCCCCAGAGGTGAGAGTGGCACCATCCCCACAGGCCTTGCAAACTAGCTGAAAGACATTTCTATTCTAGAAACCCTTTGAGCTTAATTTATTCCACATGAGAGTGCCTATTTTCCTGGTAAATATTTTAAATTCTTTTTTTTTTAATTAACGTAATTTTAAATTTTATTATCTGCCATTGGGGTGGTTTATCTTCAGTAGCATAGGGGATAGTATGGTGTTTTCCCAACCTATAGTGACCCCCACATAGCTGCTGTTTCACCCAATGATGCTTCTACTGTACTGAGATCAGCAAATCCTTTTTATTGTCTTACCATGGCATAAGGCAGGGGTCCATGGCAGCCACACGCACCTGGCACCGCCATGTCTTTTTAGAAAGTGGACAGGGCCAGATTATTTTTTTGCCCAGCAGGGCTTCTGAATGGCCATCGGAGATATGATTGGCTGTACAGATTTTCAAAAACATTGCTTTGGCATCAGCTGCCACTACAGCAAAAGGATCTTCGCTGCATGACTGAAGGTAAGCTGTATGTATGCAAGAAAATATTTTTAAACAGTATGTTCATTTAGAAAGGCAAGCTGGTAAACTGAGCTTCTGCCTGAAAGGCTGAAGAATTTCTGTTAGAATTATGCATAATCTCATTCCCTGGTATGCTGTGGTTGGCTTTGCCTCTTGCAACAAAATTCCAAAGGTACCCACTGGCTGAAAAA